TCCTCCCTCCCTCCTTCCTTCCTTCCTTCCTTCCTCCCTCCCTCCCTCTCTTCCTTCCTTCCTTCCATCCCTCACTCTCTTCCTTCCTTCCTTCCATCCCTCACTCTCTTACTTCCTTCCATCTCTACACCCAGTGTGGGGCTCAAATCACAACCCTGAGATCAAAAGTTGCATGCTCTACTGACTGAGCCATGCAGGTACCCTGCTGTTGTACATTTTCTAATTTGATCGTGACAAGATTCATAAGAAAGAGGCAGGTCAGGTATTATTCTCATTTTATAGATCAGAAAATAGGAGTTTCAGGGCTAGTAATATTTGATAAAGGTCAAGTGGTTTAGATAAATGGCAGGGCCACAACTATGACCTGGTCTAGAATGACTCAATGTTACCTATGATATTATCAGTATTATCTAGGATAACAGGAAAGATAATATCCTCAGAAGAGGTTTTACAAATATATGAAAACAAAACTAAAAAAAAAACAACCTGATATAGGCAGCATTTTAATGTCTTTTCATCCACAGTGAGAGTTGTTAACCCAACTTTTAATTCCTAATATAAACTTGTTTTTTGCATAAAGCATTATCCTTTTGATATATTGCTAGATTTACTTTGTTAACATTTTATTTAGGATTTTTGCATGTATATTCATGAATGATACTGTTCTGGGATTTTATTTTTCATAATGTTCTTATAAGGGTTTTTCTGGGATCATAAGTTAAATTGGGGTATATATTTTTTTCCTAATCTCTGAAAGAGTTTGTATAAGATCAGTATTATTTTTTCCTTGAATTTTTGCTATAATTCTATAGTGGAATGATATGGATTTGGAATCTTTTAGTGTATGTGTGGAAATATATATATATTTGTAAAAGATTTTGTTGTTAAGTAATCTCTACACCCATTGTGGGGCTCAAACTCACCACCCTGAAATCAAGTGTTGCATGCTATACCAACTGAGCCAGCCAGGTGCCCTCTGGAATTATTTTTAATTGTAGATTTCATTTTTTTTCAAATAATTACAGGACTTTTCAGATATTTTACATTTAAGTTCATTCAGATAACAGTTATTAACTGAATTTGTTTGAATTTCATTTAACAAAACTGCATTTTGAACTTTGAAATCTTAATGCTAGATGTCATTTAAGGTGTTTTTAAACTTTGTTAAAGTATACATAACATTAAATTTACCATCTTAGCAACTTTTTAGTGTACAGTTCAATACTATTTAAGTATATTTACACTGTGTGCAACTAATCTCCAGAAATCTTTTCATCTGGCAAAATTGGAGCTATACCCACCAAGCAGTAATTCCCCACCCTCTCTTTACCCCAACCCCTGGCAACCACCCTTGTATTTTTTGTCTCTGAATTTGACTACTGTAGGTATTAATAAGTGGAATCATATAGTGTCCTTTTGTGACTGGTTTATTTCACGTAACATAACGTCCACAAGGTTCATCCATGTTGTAGCATGTGCCAGAATTTCCTTCCTTTTATAAGGCTAATGTTCCATTATGTGTACACACCACATTTTGTTTATCCATTCATCCATCAATGTGAACAAAGGTGTACAGTTATTTCAATACTTGTCTATGGCCATACCACCCTGAATGTGCCCGATCTCGTCAGTTATTTCAATACTCTGAATTCTTCTGGGTAAAGTAGAGTTACTGGGTCATATAGTAATTCTCTTTTTAATGTTTTGAGGAACCACAATATTATTTTCCATTTTACAGTTATACCAACAGAGGACTTTTCAAATTTTATATACTTTCATGTATCAGTAACTTGTATTTCTCTAGTAATTTACCTGTTTCACCAAACTTGAAAATTTATTGACATGTTATGTCTTCAGTATCTGTAGTGATAGCATTTTTTTCCACTTAAATTGATCACTTAAGCCTTTTTCTTCTTCTTTTTTTCTTCCTCTTTTTTAAAAAACCAGTGTTGCTTGGGTGGCTCAGTTGGTTGAGCATCCAGCTCTTGATTTCCACTCAGATCATGATCCCAGGGTCTTGGGATTGAGCCCTGCATCAGGCTCTGCACTAAGTGTAGAGCCTGCTTAAGATTCAGTCTCTCTCTCTCTCAGCCTCTCCTTCTCTCCCCCTCTCCCTCTTCCCCTCTCTCCCTCTCTCCCTTGCTCCCTCCCTTCCTCCCTCCCTCCTTTCCTCCCTTCTCCCTCTCTTCCCCATCTCTACCTCACTCCTCCACTTGCTCTCTAAAATAAAAATTAAAAAATCAGTGTTTGTCAGCTTTATTTATCTTTTCAAGTAATGTTTGAAATATTGATTTTGTACTTTGTTGATACTTATTACTGTATTGATCCTTTATTGTAGTGTATCCTATTTTATGGTATTTTATTCATTTGTTCTTGTCCTTATGTCGTACTTTGAGTTTAGTACTTTGCTTTTGGTCTCACACACTTTGAGTCTGATTTGTGTTTGTTCATGCTCATCTGGGTTTATGTGATTGCTCTTCCCTTCTTTCACAGGTACCGTTTTTTGTTTGTGTGTCTGTTTGAATGAGGAGAGTACGTTGGGGAAAAAAAAGTTGAAGTGTTAGAAATGATAGCATCTTTTACTACTATTATTATCAGCTGTACTTAAAATTGTAATACACTCATATTGACAAGATTATCAAATGCAGCTTATAACAGTGTTACTCTTTTTTTTTTTTTTTTACCCTTTCTTTGGCAGGACCCGTTGGGGCCCAGCCCCTACTCATGGTGCCCAGAAGACCTGGCTATGGCACCATGGGCAAACCCATTAAATTGCTGGCTAACTGTTTTCAAGTTGAAATCCCAAAGATTGATGTCTACCTCTATGAGGTAGATATTAAACCAGACAAGTGTCCTAGGAGAGTGAACAGGTAAGAATCATGAAGTCATGGAGATTATTTTGCTGTTGGTATTTCTTTGCTTTAGTAATTATGTTAATGTTTCATATATAATAAAAAAGATAACCGTTTGACCAAGCACACATGGTAATTTGTTTTGAAATTGTACTTCAGAGGTGTGATGTTGGGAAAAATCTACAAATAACCTTGAAATTTTCTCATTATAACATGAGCTCACATGTTTTCTCTGTGATAATAGAGAAGGTCTAACTCCTTTTTATATGCTATTGAAATCAGACTAAGCGTCTTTTCCATTGCTATTGGTTAACGTTTGTGCTTTCTTTTTTCTCTCCTTTCCACCCTACCTTATTTATCCCTTTAAGATGATGGGATGGTAACAGTAGTGGGTAGATACAGTGGTTGTCATGTTTCCTGCTTTCTGTTCTGGTACTCAACTCCTGACTTTCCTTCTTCTTATATAGGAACAAATACATATGATATAGAAATATGTATCAGTCTGCTTTCAGTAAGCCATTTCTCTCACCTCCCTCAAATGTACGTATGTACGTACATAACTGGGGTGTTAATGTGTACGTATGTATATACGTGTATATATGTATATGTAAGATTGTGGTTCAGGTAATAAGGGTATATAAATGGAACTTATGACATGGTGTGCACCATGAAGGAGCTTCTAAAAAAAACAAAACTGGGGCTCCTGGGTGGCTCAGTCAGTTGAGTGCTCAACTCTTGGTTTTGGCTTAGGTCATGAACTCACAGTTGAAAAGTTCAAGCCCTTAGTTGGGCTTCATGCTGGCAGTGTTGAGTCTGCTTGGGATTCTCTGCCTGTCCCCAACTTACTGTCTCTCTCTTTCTTAAAAAAAATAAACTTTTTAAAAAATCAAAGCAAAACAAGACATATGGATAAAACACTTAGAAAACAGTGATACTCATCAGCTTAGTATTTTGGTTTATATTATCAAATATCCCAGCCTTTTCTTTTCTTTTTTTTTTTTTTAAATATTTTTATTTCTAGGAGAGAGAGAGAGAGAGACAGCATGAGCAGGGGAGGGTCAGAGAGAGAGGGAGTCACAGACTGAAACAGGCTCCAGGCTCTGAGCTGGCAGTCAGGACAGAGCCCGACGCGGGGCTCGAACCCACGAACTGCGAGATCATGACCTAAGCGAAAGTCAGACGCTTAACCGACTAAGCCACCCAGGCGCCCCTATCCCAGCCTTTTCTTATTCAATAAGTATTATTAAGAGTCTTCATTTAAAGCAAATCAGAGAACTCTAGATGCTGGCGAGGATGTGGAGAAACGGGCACCCTCCTACACTGTTGGTGGGAATGTAAACTGGTACAGCCCCTCTGGAAAACAGTGTGGAGGTTCCTCAGGAAACTAACAATAGAACTCCCCTATGACCCAGCAATAGCACTGCTAGGAATTTACCCAAGGGATACAGAAATGCTGAGGCATAGGAGCACATGTACCCCAATGTTCATAGCAGCACTCTCCACAATAGCTAAAACATGGAAAGAGCCTAAGTGTCCATCAACAGATGAATGGATCAAGAAGATGTGGTTTATCTATACCATGGAATACTACATGGCAATGAGAAACAATGAAATCTGGCCATGTGTAGCAACATGGATGGACCTTGAGGGTGTTATGCTGAGCGAAATAAGTCAGGCAAAGAAGGACAAATATCATATGTTTGCACGTATAGGAGGATTAGGAGGAACTTGACGGAGGAACAAGGGGGAGAAGAAGGGGTGGAAATGGTGGGGGAAAGGGAGAGAGGCAAACCATGAGAGACTCTTGAATGCTGACAAAAACTGAGGACTGAAGGATGTGGGGGGGAGGAGGGACGGGCATGGAGGAGGGCACTTGTGGGGATGAGCACTGAGTGTTATGTGGAAACTAATTTGACAATAAACTATTTGTAAAAAAAAAAAAAAAAAGAGTCTTCATTTAAGACATAGCTGGTTCTTGCTACCAAGAAATTCATCATTTAAGGGCTCCTGGGTGGCTCAGTCATTTGAATGTCTGACTTTGACTCAGATTATGATCTCCCAGTTCATGGTTTTGAACCCCATGTCAGACTCTGCGCTGACAGCTCAGAGCCTGGATCCTGCTTCAGATTCTGTGTCTCTTTCTCTCTGCCCCTCCCCTGCTTGCTCGCTCTCTCTCTCTGTCTCTCTCTCTCAAAGATAAATAAACATTTAAAAAAGGGCACCTGGGTGGCTTAGTCGGTTAAGCGTCCAACTTCAGCTCATATCATGATCTCGCAGTCCATGGGTTAGAGCCCTTCATCGGGCTCTCTGTTGACAGCTCAGAGCCTGGAGCCTGATTCAGATTCTGTGTCTCCCCTACTCCCCCTGTCTGTCTCTGCCCCTCCCCTACTCATGCTGTATCTCTCTCCATATCTCTCTCCATCCCTCAAAAATGAATAAATGTTTTTAAAAAATTTTTATCTAGATAAGACACATAAGAAATACAAAGTAAATGAGCACGAAGAGACTTTGCCATAACATGTAAAAAAAAAAAAAACATCATATGAATGTAATAATGTGGAATGCAGAGTTCTTTCTGAGGTCATTCTCCTACTGTAAAATTTATTTAACTTCCTGTAGCCTACAGAATGACATCCCAAATTTAGCATAACATACACTTCTTACTTTGGCTCTAATCTATATCCTTTACCATGTTCTGCAGTCTTACCTGGAATGCCCTGTCTGTCCTTATCTATATGGCAAACTTCTATTATGTTTCAAGATACCCCTTTTGAACTCTGTAGTCAGAGGTAGTTCATTCTTCTGTGGCTTCACAGTAGTTGGTGTACAATCCTGTTATAGTAGTGTATTGTGGTTACTTGTTACTTTCCTCTTCTCACAGTATAACATCTTCATGAAAAGGAATACTCGTTTTCATTATCTTTGTAGTGCTGATAATTAGCTTGATGATTGGCACATAATAAATAGTAGAGTGAATGAAAAGCTTATAAAAGTAAAATGAGATGAGCATGATGGTGCGGGGCAGGAAAGAGAACTGGACATTATAAAGGGCTATGTTTGCCTAGATAGAGATTTTCAGTGCCCTACCCTTTTCTCCTAGAGAGGCTAGTCTTTGTCCTAGAGTCCTTCCTCTCTCTCTTTTCTATCTTTCTGCTAGCCATGTGCTTATGGGGACCTAACTACCTTCATGCCATACTCTCAAATTCCCTTTTTCTTGTTTTTCAAAACTGGGGTGTTAATCTGTTAATTTGAAGGATAATCCTGGCCCTTTTGGTTGATGTCTAATATTTTATCTTATTTTTTTAATGTTTATTTATTTTGAGAGAGAAAGTGAGCATGCACTCAGGAGGAACAGAGAGAGGGAGAGAGATAATCTCAGGGAGACTCCACACTGTTAGAACAGAGCCTGACTTGGTGCTTATCTCTGGGAACATAAGATCATGACTTGAGCCAAGATCAAGAGTTGGGTGCTTGGGGTGCCTGGGTGGCTCAGTCAGTTAAGTGTCCAACTTGGGCTCAGGTCATGATCTTGCGGTTTGCGAGTTTAAGTCCCACATCTGGCTCTGTACTGACAGCTCAGAGTTTAGGGCCTGCTTCAGAATCTGTGTCTTAAAATCTGTGTCATAAAAATTCTTTCTCTCTGCCCCTCCCCTGCTCACACTCTGTCTCTCTCTCTCTCTCTCTCTCTGTCTCTCTGTCACTCTCTCGAAAATAAATAAATAAACATTAAAAAAGGTTTAAAAAGAAAAGAGCTGGATGCTTAACCTACAGAGCCACCCAAGTGCTCCATATTTTATTTTTTAATAAACTTTTTTTTAAGTTTGTTTATTTTGAGAGAGGGAGAGAGAGAATCCCAAGCAGTCTCTGTGTTCCACATTGAGCCCAGTGCAAGGCTCAGTCTCACAAACCATGGAATGATGACATGAACCCAAATCAAGACACTTAACCAACTGAGCCACCCAGGTCCCCCTGATGTTTATATTTTAAAAAGACACTTATTAGTCTAAGTAAATCTTTTTAACTGGTCTAAGGCAGATATTTCTTTTTATTATTATTAAACTTTTTTTCTTTTTAAAATTGAGAAAGAGAAACTGTGGGTGGGGGAGAGGGGAGGGCAGAGAGAGAGGGAGAGAATCCTGAGCAGGCTGTGCACTGTCAGTGCAGAGCCCTTCGAGGGGCTCGATCCCACGATCCTGATCATGACCTGAGCCAAAATCAAGAGTTAGATGCTCAACTGACTGAGCATTGGTAAATATTTCTCCTAAGGCAGATATTTCTGAACTAATTTCCTTACTATTGTCTTTCCCCCTTGCCCTGCCCAAAAGAACAATCCCTAATTTTAACAGTATATAGTAAAGAATTGTTGTTGGTTATTTATTAAGTAGGAGAATCATATGATGAAAATGTTAAGAAAACAAAATTGCTTTAAAGACAAGATGGGTTATAATTGAGAGGATAATGGGAAATGGAGGCTTGGAGCTTAGAGAGATGTCAGCTGAGAGTTTTAATTTTTTAGAGGAATTCTGAGGGACTAGTGTAATATTAGGTAAAAAATATCATTTATTAGGTTTGTTCCTTCTTCTATTTAACTTTTTAGTTTTGGTAGGGAGGAGGGAGTTATTTGTATATTATGTAAGTGTATATCAAATTGGGGTACCTGGCTGATTCAGTCAGTACAGCATCTGACTCTTGATCCCGGGGTTGTGAGTTTAAGCCCCATGTTGGGCATGGAGCCTACTTTAAAAAAAAAAAAAGAGAGAAAGAAAGAAAAAGAAAAGAAATTAAATACATAGAATTTCACATGTGGATACTCAACATATTGGTTAAGTTTGGGGAAAAATATATGTAATAATTTGGTGGGTACATTCTGGTTTTAATTTACTTCCCTAATTATATTTTGTCTGTTGGGTTGCTTCTTGTCTTGTTATGTTGTTTGCCGGTAGGAGTAAAGCATCTGTAATTTAGATGTTTCCAAATGGAAGTTTTTTATCCTGTATCTTAATTTGAGTTTTCATAGG